GTGGCATAAAAGCTTATTTCACGCTGTCCTCGAAGTGGATCCAAGTGTGGTACTTTGACAGTATTGGCCTTGTACATAACAGTAAGGCCACCCACATCGCTCCTATGTTGAAGGCTCTGCTAAAAAGGCCCGGGCTGGGCGATTATACCGGCGAATCTACAACAGCAGCTGAAGCTCAGCCATGGAGCTAGGCGCTTATATACTGGCGACAGGTAGAGGATGTGCAGCAGACTAAGGCATTGTTGCTGGTAGGTGGGAAGTTGGTCATACCCATGGAATGGGCCAGTAGAAAGCATGAAGGTTGTGTAGATGTCCTCTGTACCAAGAGGACATCTACACAACCAACTCCGAGGCTGAGGGACTGATTACCTCATCTTTTGTATATAATTCTTCACATTGTCTTTGTATTTTATTGATAAAGCCATTAGTTGGCGAAACGTCTACAAATAATAATACCCAGATGTTGCACATGTGTCTAATTCTTTATCTTGTCGGTATTGTATACCATTTAGGTACATAAATAACCCATAAGACATTGCATAAGACCGAGACATAGAGTCCTGTCTGTAGAGGAACTTCACTATGACATTAGCTTTCTTTACTACACTGTTCACTCTCAATTCTTGGGTCAAAGGGGATTCCCAGATATTTCACTGAAGCTACTGAAGTGATGAGTTCCCTGTGACACTGGACTTTAAAAGTATTTAACCTTTTCAGTTTGCTTTTTATGCCAAAGAGTTTGGCTTCTGTTTTCCCGAGGTGTAGCGATAGTTTGTCTGCTAACCAGTGATATTATATCTTGTCGGTCTTTACCTGAGACTAGCAGAGCACTGTTGTCTGCATACAACAAAAGCTTACGCTTGACACTGATGTGCACGCCGTTCACATAAATTAAAAATAGTAAGGGTCCAAGAATACTACCTTGGGAAACCCCACTTGCTATCGGCAAGGGTTCTGATTCCGTATTATTGATTTTGACATTTTGTTTCTTGTTGCTCATGTAAAAGTTAAACCAGTCTACAGAGCTTATGTAGTTTCTTACGCAATATGTTTTGGGTAACTTTCGAATACCTTTTGCGACATTTGAGCTCTCAGGAAGTCCATCAGATTAATGAGGAGTTTACCTGGAGAGAGTTCCAGGGGTCAACGCCCCCGCGGCCCGGTCTGTGACCAGGCCTCCTGGTGGATCAGAGCCTGATCAACCAGGCTGTTACTGCTGGCTGCAAGCAATCCAACGTACGAGCCACAGCCCGGCTGGTCAGGTACCGACTATAGGTGCTTGTCCAGTGCCAGCTTGAAGACTGCCAGGGGTCTGTTGGTAATCCCCCTTATGTATGCTGGGAGGCAGTTGAACAGTCTCGGGCCCCTGACACTTATTGTAATGTTTCTTAACGTGCTAGTGACACCCCTGCTTTTCAGTGGGGGAATGTTGCATCGTCTGCCAAGTCTTTTACTTTCGTTGTGAGTGATTTTCGTATTTTTACTCATTTTTGACTTCTTTTCATAAGAACGATATATGCCACTTTCCTTCTTCAATACACTGTAATATTCACACTCTCCCCATCCTCCAGTAGTTGGTGACAGCTGGTAGCTTCTTACCGTCAGGTCCCCAGCTGCGCTAACTCTCCCCTTACTCACACTCTTCACACTTGATATACCCTTTTCTAGAGAGGGACAAATTCCCCACCTAGACAGATCAATAACTTCGTGGTCAGATTGGGCAATTCACCCCCAAAGAGCCACCTTCGAATTTCTTGTTCACTTACATAAGATAGCTGTTACAAAATGCGATATCTATAAAGTATAGACATCTCCAGAGAATATAGAAAGTCAACTTACTGATCCCCCTCTAGCATCTAGCCTGTTTCTGGTTTTGTAACAGTTTGTCAGAAAGTATTCTGGTCCAGTTATCCTTTAAAATTAAGGTAAATTTTAATAGTTCTTTAGGATTGCAACTGATAGAAGACTAACTAAATAAAAATTGATATGTTTATTAACAAAGTTGTCGAGGTGGACAAAATCAAAGTAGTCTGATATAATTTAGGATATAAGCTCCTACACATCTCTTGTAGTGCAAAGTTAAATTGCACATTTAGTAGTATTGTGCTGAAGGCACATTTCATATCAATCTTCTTGACCAACAAGGCAATCAAAACAGCTTGCTTGAACAATATGACGAACCATTCACCAAACAACAATAACATAACAAGCAGCAGCACAGAGTCAGGAACAAGAAGACAAAATAACAACCCTAACTGAGGACCATCATCAGATCCTCCATGAAAATCATAAAACTCCCTTAATACTGAATCTAAGTTCAGCATAACCAAATCCCCGACTACGACGGTGCAAAGATGCCACACAAATTAGGTCAGAAGCTTTAGCCTGGGACCTGAACAGAGTTGTGGATGAGTGGAACAAACTCCCAAGTACAGTTATTGAGGCTAAAACGTTGTGTAGTGTTAAAAATAGGCTAGATAAATACATGAGTGGGTGTGGGTGGGTGTGAGTTGGACCTGACTAGCTTGTGCTACTAGGTCAGTTGTCGTGTTCCTTAAGTAAATGTGACCTGCCCTGACTAGGTTGGGGCATTGGCTTAAGTCGGTAGGAGACTTGGACCTGCCTCGCATGGGCCAGTAGGCCTACTGCAGTGTTTCTTCTTTCTTATGTTCTTATGTTCTTACACTGGTTGATCAGGCTCTGATCCACCAGGAGGCCTGGTCACAGACCGGGCCGCGGGGGCGTTGACCCCCGGAACTCTCTCCAGGTAAACTCCAGGTAGTTACAAGATGTATGTTTCGACTCACCAACGAAATCATACTCTACCAAAACAGTCTAAATAACGAACAGACAGTCAGAGATGACAGGGATGCTTCCAGCACTAGGAGCAGATGGAGAGAGCGGTGCTTGTCCAGCGATGACCAACGATAACAGTGACCACAGTTAAGAGTAAATGTTACATCCTACTTAATGACATAGCTAAGTTAAATAATAATATAAAGCAATCTATTTTCATTTTAGCTGTTAATGAAAATATCAGCAATATAAAATTATATGAAAGATAATATGCATTATATACATTATGTCCCTTTCAGGGGGTGCAACAATAACACAAATATTCTTGCAAATTACAAAAAAAAAAAACATTTTTTTCCTCTATTTCGCTCTTCATCCATTCCCTTTGTTTAGTTGTGTCGTCTGAGCGGCTAATGTATGTGTACCCATACTCATCCTATGAGAGGTACGCGAGAAACAGAATTATAGAGGTCACACTGGGTCCTTATCAGACCTCAGTGGCCATATTTTCATCTTCGTTAGGGCTAGGTAAGTTTTGCCAGGAAACAGGACAAGTGTTTCCTACACATATGCTGCTATGTATGATAATTCTATGTAACTGTATTTGTGTATACCTGAATAAACTTACTTACTTACTATAGGTCTTAGATGATGACCCGCCGCTGGAGCTTTTGGTCATCTGACCAAGGCCTTTCGCTGGCGTACTGATCCACCCCTTTAAAATTTATGGTCATAGTTAGTTATAAAATTAACACATCGGTCAAGGCAGGGTGACCCCCCCCCCCCCAAAAAAAAAAAAAAAACACTTTCATAATCATTCACTCCATCACTGACTTGGCAGAGGCGTGCTTACACTTTAATTTAACAAACTACATGATATCAACACCCCTCCTTCATAAATATTGCGGTTATCTCATATATTAGTTACTTCACATAGCTAATATACAGTTGGATAAAACATAACTTTATCTGACCAGCTTGGAGCAAATGCTGAGAACAGAAAATCATAAATCTGTAGTTGTATTTTGCACAAGCTTGAGAGCAACGAGTGTGTCACACAGTTCAGTTTCTAAGGTGGAAGACCAGTTATTAACTCTAATATACCTCTGTATTATAGTACCATTAAGCAGGTTTACAATAACAGCACTTCCTTCCCTCACATTGTCACAATTAAGGAGCCATGAGCGTAGATAGTCTTTGTGATGCTATTTAGTCTGCAGGTCGTGTATGTATTCCAGAGCACTGAATTTAGAAGTTAGTAAAAAATAAGGATTAGGCAAGTTTACAGCAGTTTCTTGGTAGGATAGATGGGCATCATGATATCAAAAGTTATCTGCCTGGGAGGCAGGAAATGTTCCCAGCTTGATACCGTTCATGTAACAATATTGGTAGAATTACCGACAATATGTTAGGTAAGAGGATACATGTGCAACTAATGTGATACGTATTTTATTGTGGCCACAATAAAATGTCGAATTAGTAGCACATGCGTCCTTTTACGATCCAGTTCATGTATTCCAAATATTTTTGTGGGTGGCCGTAATTTGAGTCTGTTTTGATTCACTTGCCCCCTTTTCCATTCACCTACTAATTTTGTCTATACTCCCCTAGTCTTCCTCTCATCCCACTGTTACACTGTTTTCCAGGTCACATTACCTGGAGAGTTTACCTGGAGAGAGTTCCGGGGGTCAACGCCCCCGCGGCCCGGTCTGTGACCAGTATATAATTCGTACAGAAATTTACCTAGTTGCATACATCATTTCAGAACTAGTTGATCAAGTGGCTAACGCGCTGGCCTGTTAGTTTTAGGATTCACTTGGGTTTGAGCTGCACACACTCCCTCATCAGTAGAGGAGGGCCTCGCTTAACAGCACTTCGCTTTACAGCGTTTCCCTAATACACTGATTTTCAATTATAACCATTCTTCATTTATTAGACTTTCTACACTAAATATATTCACTACTCAATATAAGCTAAGGATGAAAATATTATAAGTAATGTGTATATTGTATATGCATTCTTTTTAGGCCTAACTATATTGCTCTATAAATATATGATAGTGTACACATGTTATTAGGCTTTTATATGCATTTGAAGGTAAAAAAAAAGAGGGGGAGGTTATGTTTAACTTTACAGCGATTTTCGCTTTACAGCCGTAGCCTGGAACCTGACTTACTGTACATAATTCTTGGGTGACCGGGCAGGTGGCGTGTGGCCGGAGCTATGGAACGCAGTAGACGCGAGAAAACTCTTGAGGAGCGTCGCCACGCAGCCGTACTGCGCCGCCTGCTGCGCACCAACCATGTTGCTCATTCTGCCCTCACAGCACTTACCACCATGCAGGTGAGTCCTGACACCCTCTGCCCCTTGTAGGCGAGTCCTGACACCCTCTGCCCCTTGTAGGCGAGTCCTGACACCCTCTGCCCCTCGTAGGCGAGTCCTGACACCCTCTGCCCCTTGTAGGCGAGTCCTGACACCCTCTGCCCTTTGTAGGCGAGTCCTGACACCCTCTGCCCCTCGTAGGCGAGTCCTGACACCCTCTGCCCCTTGTAGGCGAGTCTTGACACCCTCTGCCCCTTGTAGGTGAGTCCTGACACCCTCTGCCCCTTGTAGGTAAGTCCTGACACCCTCTGCCCCTTGTAGGTGAGTCCTGACACCCTCTGCCCCTTGTAGGTGAGTCCTGACACCCTCTGCCCCTTGTAGGTGAGTCCTGACACCCTCTGCCCCTTGTAGGTGAGTCCTGACACCCTCTGCCCCTTGTAGGTGAGTCCTGACACCCTCTGCCCCTTGTAGGTGAGTTCTGACACCCTCTGCCCCTTGTAGGTGAGTCCTGACACCCTCTGCCCCTTGTAGGTGAGTCCTGACACCCTCTGCCCCTTGTAGGTGAGTCCTGACACCCTCTGCCCCTTGTAGGTGAGTCCTGACACCCTCTGCCCCTTGTAGGTGAGTCCTGACACCCTCTGCCCCTTGTAGGTGAGTCCTGACACCCTCTGCCCCTTGTAGGTGAGTCCTGACACCCTCTGCCCCTTGTAGGTGAGTCCTGACACCCTCTGCCCCTTGTAGGTGAGTCCTGACACCCTCTGCCCCTTGTAGGTGAGTCCTGACACCCTCTGCCCCTTGTAGGTGAGTCCTGACACCCTCTGCCCCTTGTAGGTGAGTCCTGACACCCTCTGCCCCTTGTAGGTGAGTCCTGACACCCTCTGCCCCTTGTAGGTGAGTCCTGACACCCTCTGCCCCTTGTAGGTGAGTCCTGACACCCTCTGCCCCTTGTAGGTGAGTCCTGACACCCTCTGCCCCTTGTAGGTGAGTCCTGACACCCTCTGCCCCTTGTAGGTGAGTCCTGACACCCTCTGCCCCTTGTAGGTGAGTCCTGACACCCTCTGCCCCTTGTAGGTGAGTCCTGACACCCTCTGCCCCTTGTAGGTGAGTCCTGACACCCTCTGCCCCTTGTAGGTGAGTCCTGACACCCTCTGCCCCTTGTAGGTGAGTCCTGACACCCTCTGCTCCTTGTAGGTGAGTCCTGACACCCTCTGCCCCTTGTAGGTGAGTCCTGCAAGGAGATTCTAGAACATGTTTAACATATCTTTATTTCTACAAGTACATGTACAAGGTATACACACCGTAGCTGACATCAATGACATACTACTATATAGAAAGTCACTTATGCTGAACATTCGGACAAATTAGGTCAGTTCTGTCCCAGGATGTGACCCACACCAGTCAACTAACAATCAAGTACCCATTTTATACTGATGGTGAACATGGACAGGGACAGCAGGTGCCTTATGGAAACACGTCCCTAATGTTTTCCAGCCATAACGGAGATTCCAACTCCGGACCTCAGTGTGTGAGTTGAGTGCGCTAGCGATCGAGCTATGGGAAATCACTATTCTTCAGGTGACTAGTATACCTTTACATCCTCACCCTCCTCCAGGGGATTCCAGAACACTTAACATCCTCACCGTCCTTCGTGAAGTTCAATCACATCTGATTCTCTCACGCTTAAGAGATACGAATTTAATTTCCTAATTAGCAATCAAAATCATTCAGGGTAACTTCTCAGAGCCAACAATAACATAACTGTCTTTAACTACAATATCAGATCTTTAAGCAAACATTACGATGACCTCACAGCATTACTAAATTCCCTGCATGCCAGTATGTCCATCATTACTCTTACCAAAACCTGGCTAAAGCCTGATACTACAGATGTCTATGCCATCCCTGGTTACACAGCCATACACAACTGTAGGCCAGACCAACAAGGGGGTGACACTGCTATATACTACTCAGACCAACTAGAATGCATCAATAATACTTGCATAAGGGATGAACATGGGGAATATATAATAGCTAAATTCATATCCAAATACCTACAAAAACATCTCACAGTGATAAACATCTACAGAGTACCACAGTCAAATACTAGCCATTTTAGTGAAATACTAGGACGCATGATAACTGATGCACACATGAACAAAGATCACTTACTACTCACAGGAGACTTCAGTATGAATCTCCTGCAAGACCAGGACCCACTTGTAACTGAATTCACAAACACTATGAGTAACTGCTTGCTGCTACCAACAGTAACAAAACCTACAAGAATTACAGAGACTAGTGTTTCCCTATTAGACCACATATGGACCAACACATGTCCCCTTTAAAATCAGGCATAATCACAGATAATACCACAGACCACTACCCTACCTTTCTCATAACCAATCTAGGTAAATTACCCCAAGGCACTACTAAAGTAACCTTCAGACTTCATAATGACACAGCCATTAATAACTTCACAACAGCAATGACAAACATTGACTGGCAAACTGAGCTAGAAATCTATACAGATACTGACGAATGTATTAATAATTTTCTAAAAAGAAGACCCAATACCTCTATAACAAGCACTGCCCTAAAAAAACTAAACAGATCACAGCTAAGAGACTGAACAGTCCCTGGCTAACACCCAGCATCCTCAAATCCATAAATATAAAGCACATATATGGAAAACAGTACAGAATGGGTCACATAACCAGAGACCAAACAAAACGTTACTCATCTGTCCTAACCAGCCTGATAAGAAGGGCAAAAAAATTGTATTATGAGAACAGATTATCCAACTTAAAAGGTGATATAAAAAAGACCTGGAAAACCCTATCTGAAATTCTAGGAACTAAAAAGATATCAGAAAACAGAACAATTAAACTAACAAAACCAGATGAACCCCAGCTCCCACCAACTGAAACGGCAGACTCAGTGTTTTCTTCTCCACCATAGGAAAAAACCTTGCAGGTAAAATCCCAAGCTCAAACACCCCACCTAATGACTACCTCACTGGCAACTATCCGAACACACTGTTCCTAGCTCCGACCAACCCAACAGAAGTCTCACTTATTATCAACACACTAAAGAACAAGATTTAAATACCTTACCAACCTTTATATACAAAAAAGCTTCACAAGTACTATCACCAATCATTGCAACATTCTTTAACAAATCCATCGAATCCTCTACCTTTCCCACAGTTCTCAAAATAGCGAGGGTCACCCCGATACATAAAGGAGGAGATCAAGCAAACTTGAATAACTATAGGCCAATATCCAACTTCATTGACCTCTTCGCTCTCGGGCCGAGAGGTTGTGCTTCGCCTTTGCTCCTGCATTCGTCAAACACCATTGGTGGAGGATGGACGTTGGCTGCTGCACTCGCTACAGTTGGTAGCCCTGAGCGAATTTTGCAAGATGGCGCAGACTACCAGGAGGAGGATAAACACTGTGTGTATTGAGGTGTTGAAAGGCGCAGTTTATAACACCAATGCGTCAGTTATGCTGCCTGCCATCTTAAGAGATACCTACTGCATCAACAACGACGATTTGTATGGAATTGCTTTGAATGGAGCTACAAGAATCTTTGTGAAATTCGTGATGGCTGCTGTATATGCCAAGATGGTGTAAAAGTACCAGGATGTGTATATGCTGGTTAACCCTGGTTTAGAAGTACATATGAGGGACGTATCCAAGTATTATACTTGGGTAAAGATGGAACGTCCCATTTGAGGCCGATGAGGAAGACATAAAAGCAACTTTCGAAGAGTTTGGAGTCATACATCAAGCAACAGTTGGAAGGTGGTCTGAGGGAATGTGTGCTGGACTGCGTGAGGGATCCTTTACCCTTAAGATGTCCTTGCGCAAAACTATACCATCATACGTGACATTAAGTGACTTTAGAACTCAGGTATATGTCACATATGCAGGGCAGAGAAGAACATGCAGACTGTGTGGAGCGTATGATCATACGGCTGCGATTTGTCCTTGACGATCGTCACCTGAGACACATGGAGAAGGGAAAGGAGTGGAGAAGGAGAGAGAGGTGACGACCCAGTCAACACAGGAGCATCCTCGGGACCACAGGGCATGGAGTGAAATCGTGGAGGACAATCCGGTGGAATGTGTAACATTACCGGAGGTCTCTCAGGTGATTGAGACCATGCTTATAGAGGATGAGGTGAGACAAGGTGAATTGGGTAGTGAAGTTTCAGCTGCAATAGACACTGTTATACAGGGATTCTTGGAGGATCAGAATAGGGACGGAACACTACGTATGGTATCGGATGGGACATCTGCAGATAAGGGTGGAATTCATGAGGAGTGCAATGTGGGTGGTGGGGATGGGCAACCACAGAGGATTTGTGAGACAGTGGTTGAAGTGCATAAAGTTGAAAGTGCAGATGAGGTATCACGAAAGAGAGAGGCAGGTGCTTCTGACAGTGATGATGTTTTGACACCTGCGCAAAGATCTGGTAAGAAACACTCAGTGGATGTCCCCCAAAAAAGTATCAGGGGGGGGGGTAAGGGGCAGGGGAAAGGTGAGGCAAGGAAAGAGCATTGTGAAAAGCATACTGTGCAAAAACGTAAGGACCAGATCGATTGGTAAGCCCCCGATATCATTTTTAAGTGCCTAACGTTAAATGTAAATGGCCTAAGGGCCGATGTAAAGCGCAGGATCTTTAGTGACTTTAAAAAGATACGGAATACAGGTCATATTTTTACAAGAGCATAATTTTAAGTATGGAAGGGATTTGTTGATAGATGAATACAAGGTTTATGCTGGATATACTGGGAAGCTTAAGGGAGGTGCTGCAGTATTAATAGCTGAGGCCAGTCCTTTTCAGTTGTTGCACTGGGAAGAAGGGGGAGATGGGAGAGTAGTGAGGGTGGATGGGACATGGGGTGGGGTACGAGTGTGTTTTGTGTGTACATGCCGGCGGACAGCAATAGGCATGTTAAAGAGGAGTTTGTTAGGGACACACTAATTTATCATATGAGGGGGTTACCAGTTTATACATTATTTGGAGGGGATTGGAATAGTGTGATACTTAGGAGGGATGTGGAGCCGCGGGGCGCTGGGTGTGTGTTGGGAGTCCTACGGGATGTGTTAGGGGGAGTCAGATTAGTGGATGTAGTTAGTGGGGAGGGGTGGGTTGTGGAGCATATTTATGTAAAGAACGGTTATGCGGCAAGCTTGGACCGCATTTATGCATCTCCTGGGATACAAGCTAATAATATGGAAACTGTAAATGTAGTATTTTCGGATCATAGAGGGGTGGTTGTGGACGTGGGTTGGGGTGAGTTGCCGAAACATTTTATGAGTTATTGGAAACTAAATGTGAGCTTGTTAGAGAATATGGAGGGTGGACTTAGTTTTGCGGAATGGTGGAAAAATGAATGGAATAAAGGAAAGCTGGGAGGTGATATATTACTGTGATGGGAGCAATGTGCTAAACCGGGGATCCGTAGGTTTTATGTGAGGAAAGGAAGGGAGGTTGGACAATGGAAACATGGATTACAGAGGTATTTGGAGGGGCAGTTAAAACAGTGTTATGAAGGTTGTCGTGGAGTATATCCGGTTTCAGAGATCGAGGGTATAAAAACGCAACTGCTGGAGATGCAGAATACAAGGTTTGATGGTGAAAGATTAAGGGTTGGGTTGGAAGATGTTTTATGGGGTGATAAGCCATCAGCTTGCGTTCTGCGGCGATTAAAGATCCAGCAAAATATAATGAATATGTTAAAATTAGAGGTATATCAGGACGTGGGTGGGTACATGGTGGGATAGCGGTTAGTAACGACTGAAGGCATGAGTGGTTTTGTGGATGAATGGTTTGAGATATATATGAGAGGAGGCAATAGGAAGATGGGGGACTTGCTTATTATGGAGGAAGGGATATCACGTATCCTGGAACCAGAAGACAGGGTGGAGATATAGGGGCCCATAAGTGAAGATGAGGTTTTGAAGGCATTACAGGGGATGAGTGTAAGGAAGACGCCAGGGATTGATGGCATTCCAAATTATTTTTATTTAAGTAACTGGGAGGTCTTGAAGGAATGCTTGGTGTATTTGTTAAATGAAATGAAGGTAAAGGGATGCATGGGTATGATGCAACAAACAGGGGTCGTTGTCATGATTCCGAAGGGGGAAGTGCAGAATAGCATCCTGTATTATAGAGGTTTATCTTTAATGTGCGGTGATTACAAATTGTTTGCAAGGGTTTTAAGTAATAGATTACGTAGTGTTATTGGGACAGTTATAGATAAGGGACAAATGGGTGTGCCGGGGCGGTCAATGATTAGTGGACATGGGAGAATTAAGGATTTCATAGATGATTGTAGAACGAGTGGAGGGGGTGTACTTGCTTTGGATTGGAAGGCTGCTTATGACTGTGTAGAGCGAGAGATGTTATGGATGATAATGAGGCGTATGGGTTTAGGCGAGGAAATTGTCCGATGGGCGGAAACATTATACAAAGGCGCAGTACTACAGGTGCAAATCAATGGACGTATGGTTAAAGTAGTTAGTATGGGTAGGGGACTGAGACAGGGATGCCCCATGTCTCAGATCCTATTTGCATGTCTACAAGATCCTTTATATAGGATGATTAATGTTGGGGTAGATGAAGAGGGGGGTACAGCAGAGGGGTGCTCCTGGTACAGTTGGGTATGTTGACGATACGAGGGTTTTAGTTGGGGGAGAGGAGGCCCGGTGGCCTGGTGGCTAAAGCTCCCGCTTCACACACGGAGGGCCCGGGTTCGATTCCCGGCGGGTGGAAACATTTCGACACGTTTCCTTACACCTGTTGTCCTGTTCACCTAGCAGCAAATAGGTACCTGGGTGTTAGTCGACTGGTGTGGGTCGCATCCTGGGGGACAAGATTAAGGACCCCAATGGAAATAAGTTAGACAGTCCTCGATGACGCACTGACTTTCTTGGGTTATCCTGGGTGGCTAACCCTCCGGGGTTAAAAATCCGAACGAAATCTTATCTTATCTTATCTTGAGATATTTAGTGGGGCAACAGGTATGCATCTTAATGCAGTTAAGTCTAAATTGTTAGAGGTTGGTTCATGGGTGGGAGGGAACTTGGGACAAAAGTATGGTTGGCAGGTAGTAGATCAAATTAAAGTATGTGGAGTGTTATATAGAAGGGCAGAGCAAGAAGCTAGAGAGGCCAACTCCGTAAGGGTTGTGCAAGGAGTATTAAGCCTGCCCATAATGCTCTACATACAAGGGGCTTTTGGCATGTACACCCAATCACAATATTTCTTTGTACAACTATGCATCATGTCCAAATAAAAAAAATAAATAAATAAACTGGAGGAGGCTGGCGGCGGTAGTGGTGGAGGTTGTTGTGGAGATGTGTTGTGAGTCATCATATGGCTAAGACCCGCGTCAGGAAACACTTGTCCTGTTTCCTGACAGACCTATTCCTACCTACCTGTGACTCACTGACACATTGCAGAGTGAGCGAGAGGCAGACCTAGGAGCCATACCATCAGTGGTGTGGCTGAGACGGAGCCAGACCAGCGGTGACCTGACCTCCGTCACACGTCTACCTATCCCCAACACAGAGGTCAGACTCCCTTCTTACAATCAGCATCTGCATGTAGATAAAGAATCATTATATACCTAGGTTTATCTCTTAAAAATTAACTGAAAAATTATTAAACTTTTGGTTTCTTTGTGAAACCAGATGCATTTGCCACTGCGTGATCCGAGGAAGGTATCCCAGTATCTCACAAACTCAGCCCTCTCTACTTCAATGCATGCATAAGGAATACAGGAAAATGTATAAAAATATGTAAGTCTTTATATGTATGTACATATGTATGTACGTATATACACGTGTATATATTCATGTGTGGAGGGATATGTGTGCGTGTATTTTCATGTGTGCATATATGTGCATATGTATGTATGTGCATATGTATGTACACTTTTGCATGTGTATATACATAATCATATGTGTTTCTGTTAGTGTATGTGTGCATGTGTAATGCATGTACATATACAAGTGCATATATATGCCTCTGCATGTGTTATATATGTACATATTTATGTATGCAAGTTTGTACACTTTTGTAATGAGAACTTTTTCGCAGATCTCAGGAATATTATTGTAATCATGGGGGAGCGCTAAACCCGTAGGATCATACAGCGCCTGGGAGGAAGATGGAAGGTATTCAGGCTCAGTTCAGGGAACCGGGGCACAGATCCAATTCCCTAGATCAAGAGCCCCTCACCAACGTCAAGGAACCTTCCTTGAGGGGAAATCTCGGGAATAGAAAAAAGAGGACATTAATCTTCCATTGTAAAAGTCAACAAACACCATTATGAGTACTATAATGATCCACAACCACACAACAAGTGTAGCTACAACGATTGGTAAAGCGTATTGCGAATGTAGAACCCTTGACTTACTCGGAACTTTCCAAATTGCATTAACAAATGCAAAAGATTGAAAATCGAGAACTTCGGCAATAGGAATGGGAATGATTTATTGGGTTAAATAGGTCTTCTCCTTTAAGTTTAGCTTGGAAAGAGATAAATAAAATAACCAGAAAAAATACTGTTAATGTTGCTCATAATTTTCCTCTTAAAAATCCAAGTGACCTCATAAATAACTGGGCCAAAACATCCAGGCATGTAAACCTGCTATCTCGTATTAGAACAAACCTAGAGAGTGCTTTTGAAGGAAGCTTGAAACTGATTGATTTTATGAGCCAAAATATTAACGAGTGATTGCCTCTTCACTGAGTATGAATTAGACATTACATTAAATGAAGATAGATCAACCACCCTTGAAGAGGATGGTATAATTTACGATATAATCAGAACGTTAAGGCAAGTCCTTGATTACCCTTTGTTAACACTGTAGCAGCGCTGTATAGCCCTTGTGGCTTAGCGCTTCTTTTTTATTATAATAATAATGTTAACACTGTATAATCTGTTAAACTGAAAGATTGTCAATCCTACTTCCTGGACCAATAATATTATTGTGTCTATCCTTAAGCCGTAACTGCCTCATAAATTTAGACCAATCTCCTTAACTAGTTGTCCTGGTAAAACATTTGAAAGAATCAGACACCAACTCTCGCCTCATCTACTTTTTGATAAAGGAAAACTTCTGCAGGGTTGTATTGCCAACTTTCTCACGGCACTCACACTTCTACTAGTTTTACCATATTTCTTGATTTAAAATTTGTATTTGGCATAGCAAACTGAACTGTTACCACCAATATTCATTTGGGCTATACCTGCTCAAAAGATGAACTAAAGATGTCCTTAGGTATACCACAGGGAGGAGTTCCCAGTCCCTTGCTATTTACTATTCTGATTAATGCTCTCCTAAATGCTCTACCTATCCCACCTAAACATACAGCTATAAGCTATGCTGATGACATCATGATCCTTACAACAGAGAATAAGATGAGTTCATTCTTAACGAGGTTCAGGTAATTTGTAACCGGCTAGGCCTCGCCATAGCCTCATCTAAAAGAAAGATATTGACATGCAAACGACATGTCCCAACCATCTGTCTGGAGGGTGACAACATCAGCTGCAGATATTTTGGTGTAGACGTAACCTTCAATAATCCTCATACCACAACTAAATAAGAAATGCAAAGATAGTCTAAATTGTCTCAGAGCTGTTGCTGGCTACAACCCCAAGTAGGATGCTGATGTGAGTATGGTGTATATAGCCTATATTAGATCCTTAATTGATTATGCTGACCCCTTGTTAATATTCTCGGCTGTCCTAAAACTACCACGACTCTTAATATGAGGACGGAGCTTGGTGTTCCTGGTATCACTGATAATATTATTGAAATTAACACTGTACTTAATATTAGAATGTTAAAAAATTAACCAGACAATGTCAATACTAATCTTAAAATGTCTGGAATTAAATAAATTTAGGTTTAAATTGGTCATAAAAACTTGGAGTTATATATTAAGTTTTATAAGCTGCCAGAACTATATTGCTGAAGACAACAAGAGCAGTTTTCCCCCTCCAGGGAAGCTGTGTTTATTTAGTATGACATACCTGCAACACCATCCCACATGCAAAGGCAACTGTTCAAAAAAGACATTTATTTTTTTTTTTTTTACAAAAAACAGTTTCACAGGCAAAGAGCTATTATCCTACCTTGGCTTATTTAAAAACCTAGTCCTAAAGTATACAACCATTCCCTATGGTACGACCCACAATAGTAGGGTACCTACTTACTGCTAGATGAACTGGGGCAGCAGGTGTAAGGAAACATGCCCAACGTTTCCACCTATGTCGGAGATCGAACCACGGACACTTGTATGTGAAATAAGTGCGCTGCCAACCGATCCACGAGGCACCCTAGCTAAACTGTTAATAATAATTTATCACAAGTTATATATACTGGTGGATCTAAGCAGGAGTCTACTAGCAGGGCTGCATCTGTTCTTGTTGCCACCTCCCTACTTAAGAACGATGGCAACTATGTTGAGTTAGGCATTAGAATGACAAACTGAATTGTTTGCCATCCTAATGACACTAATATTGATTTATGGTCGTGAGCTTGACTCTTTAATTATTACTGATTTTGTCATCATCGAGAAGGTCAATAGACTCGCATTATGACATGCTCATTGGAGAAGCCAGACACGAACACTCGAAAATCGGAGAAAAAATGTGTGTACATTTTTTATGAATTCCGTCACACGCTGAATTACTTCTTGTGATGAAGTTGATAGATAAGCTAAAGAAAGTACCGCGAAGGAAAATGTTGAACATAACTTTGGTGTATGTATCTAGCAATAATATTAGAAGAGAAGTAAATAATGAAACGGAATGCTATAGGAATGCAGTTAGAAGCCCGAGTAGATCTATAACCCACTATGATAACATGAACGTAGGTAAGTACGTTCATGGAGCAACTTGCAATGTGAAGAGACTGATGACTGATGTTGTAGTAGCTAGGTTTAGGCTTGGTTACATGTACTGATTGTGTTGTAGTAGCCAGGCTTGGCTACAAGTACTTCTAGTAGTTTGGCAGTCACTCAGATGATGATCAAACTAAATGCAAAGTATGTGGTCAGTTTTATGGCCACTTTCTTGAACAGTGTGTGTGCTTAATTTTCCACTTTCTGATGTATATATAATACAATAACCTATGTGATATAAACCAAACCAAGGGTGGGGTTTGAACCCGCGGTCAGAGAGTCTCAAAACTCCAGACCGTCGCGTTAGCCACTGGGCCAGCTAGCTTCAATAAGATTCGTCCAACTAGGTATATTTGAGTTTTGAGACTCTCTGACCCCGGGTTCATAACCCACTTGTGGTATGGTTTGTTAGCAATCGTGTCATTACGATTTCGTGAGTCACCTATGTGATATGTTACGGTATCATAATGAAGATAAGATACCAGGCAAATTAAGCAAATACTTATTCTAAACTTGTTTGCAACATGTAAGTAAATTGTAGATGTATCTAAAAGTACTCGAATTAACTTTTTTTTTTTCGAGGAGCCTCGTTTCTAGATCTGTGTATCCATATGCTCTACCGTCCACATGATGGCTATGTGGCGCACAATATGCTCTACCGTCCACATGATGCTATGTGGTGCACAATAAACCAGCCGCTTCGATGGCAAAATCTAAAATATAATTTAAAGTGAAACGAAAAAGACAGATTCTGGTTGACAAAGTTTAATGAAGATGTATACAGGTTGACAGTATGGCAGCTGTGAAGTGGATGAGTGATGGAACTGGGTCAGAAGCCACTCTACTCACCCGGCAACACTTGCAGCAACTGGAGCAGCGAGTAGCCCAGGCCAGAGAGGCCCAGGAGCTAGCAGCTCGAAGACACAGGTCAGTCTTTCAACTACACACACACTCTAACCTACTGAGGACACAAGAACCAAATTAATATTAAATCATACTGTAGACTCTGATGACTGTGTTCTGATTCCTCACCTGCTGGTGGAAACGATGCTTAAAAACGGAGAGCTACTGTACATACAAGTGTGATAAATGAAGAAAAATGTTCGTGATAAATTTAAGCTTGAAAATATTCATAAGCATATTCTACGCTATGCTATCCTCTTCAAGAGGGGCTCCTTGGCGTGGTGAAGAGGCTTTTGGTCTGAGGAATTAGACCTGTTGGTCTCCTTCCTCAGACCGAACCTAATTACCCCCCAATGCCCCCTTTCCCTATCCCATCCTCCCCTTTTTCCTTTCCTCCTCCTCCTCCCCACTCCTCCCTTTTGCCCTTCCTCTTTTTGGCCTTTGGGATTTTTCCCACAGGCACACTAGTTCATAGGTAGGGGGAAGGGTACTGGGGTCCATCCCATTCCGTTGAGGTTCTTGTGGTGGCGTAGTTTGCCATGGGATCTGGATTGCCTGGGGATGTCCCGATCCCTCTCCGGTATCCCGGAGGGTGGCTTTGGGTGTCTTTTGGGCAACAGGTGTATCTCTGGAAGTCACCTTTCGGATTCCGGGGGTGGTATGCTTTGTGGCGGATATCCGGCCGCCCTCTCTTTTTCCACCGAGGTAGCTCGGCAGATGTGAGGTTGCTATCCCAGATTGCTGGTTTACTGGCATGAAGGGTAGGGTATGGTACGGGTTCCATGCTGCATCTGCGCTACTTGCAGTGCTGAGGTCCTCTTGGGCATGGAGGGAGATTTCTGACCCTTTCATTCCTCCTAGGAACTATCCCTCCCCGGTCCTCCCCACTAACCCCGGGCCCCTTATTGTTACCGCACCCTGTTCTGACCTCGCCTCGTCTTTTGGTCACTCTTTGGACACTCCTAAGGCCCCTGTACCTCTTGCTGGTGCTGTTTCCTCACCCGCTTCAGGTACAGGGGCTTCCACTGACTCTTTCGATTTGTCTGACCTCCGCTCTCCTTTGACTATGCTTCCGGCCTCTCCCTCTATGGTTCAACGATTTTCGAATCGCCAGCCTGTCTCACGTCGGACCGACTCTGGTCCCACTTCTAAACGCCAACGACAATCTCCTGACGATGTTACTTCATTACCTTACCATTCTACTCGGAAAAGACCGACACGACACGTCATGCACCCCCTCTCTACGCTCAGTTTCGGACCACACAATGGACTAAATTCTTTACTTTACGACCGACTTCTTCTACTGCCTATCTTTCTGACCATAGTATGTATTGGCAAAGCGCTCCTATGCCACTTTGGTAGAGATATTTCCTTTCATGCTCTTAAGAGTGGTACGCGCATCATCACAGTCCAGAATTCTACCCAAGCTCATGATCTTTCTCTTCTTTCACATATCGATACTATTCCTATCACTATCGAAAAACATCATTCCCTCATTTCTTGTAGTGGTACTGTTATTCTGCCCCATACCATAGTCCAACAGAATTTCCAGACATGTGGCAATGACATTCTTGAACAGCTGGAACTCCAAGATCTCCCAGTTCTCAAGGTAGACACTTATGTTCTTCCCGCCTGCGGGCGAAGACGATACCCTTGCAATGTGGCTCGTTTAACTTTTGACAGCCGTGAACTCCCATCCTCTGTTTATGTAACAGGACATTGGTTACAAGTTTGGAAGGTGATTCCTACACTGCAACAGTGTAGAAATTGCTGGCGATTTGGCCACTCAGCAAAATATTGCAGCTCTATAGCCGAATGCCCAGTCTGTGGTGCCGATGACCATTCTAATACATCTTGCAGTCGACCTCCCTCTTGCCTTAATTGTCATGAGGTTCACCCTTCGTACTCGCCGTTGCCAGGTCTACTTAAATGAGCGGGAAATTCGTTGCCTCAAATAGGCAGAAGATCTCCCTTATGCTATGGCAGTTTCTCATCTCCGCCTCCAAGGGAGACTACCCTGTGTTTCTTATTCTCGTGTTTCAAAACGTCTCCCCACTTCTGGGGTCCCATCTTCTGCAGCCTCCTCTGCGGTTGCCAGTCCCATAGTCACTCCTGTATCTAATTCTTTTGCTGTCCTGGGCTCAAACGTCCCTACTTCAACACCTCAGTCTGTCCTCACTTCTTTGTGTTCTCCCTCACAAACCCCGGTATCGACAAGACCTCGTACGACACCTCCTCCCAATCGTCCCTCTACTTCTCAGAGGTCCAACAAATCTCCTTAACCCCTCCTTCCCTTCATCCACCTCCACATTTTACCTTCCCAGTCTCTGTACCTAGGTCTTCCCCTTTCACTGGCTCCGTTACAAGTGTGGAGGTTCATCCTCCTCCTCGTACTGTGCCTTCCTCCCCTGTCCCCTCCCAAGTTTCTTCCTTTTCTGCCACCTCCCGGGTTTCTGCCTCTTCTGTCCCCTCCCATACTTCTCCAGTTCCCTCCACCCTTTCGCCTCCCCCCCACCTTGGTACAGTCCATTACAGCTCCGATCTTTACTCAAACTCCTCCTCCTTCCATCTCCAATATTGTCTCCCATACGACGTCTCTGAACTCCAAAACACTTGAAGCAATCTCTGAATATATTGCAGAGACCAAACCATCAGTGGACACTGATCCACCCTCTGTTCCTTCTCTTTCCTCTTCTCCATCTGCGAAACTCCTTTCTTCACAACGCACCGTTCCTTCGCTACATGAACTTTTTCCTTTGCCACCGCATGTGGACTTTTCTAACCCTTCTAGTCCATACGTACCCTTACCTGTGGATTTCAGGTATCTTTATAGTTGCCAGTCATGGCCTATTTACAGTGGAATATTTGCGGCCTCAGGGGTAATCGGGGTGAGCCTCAGATGTTGCTCTCCCAGTTTTCCCCTGTTGGTGTTTGCTTACAGGAACCAAAATTACGCTCTGCCATTATCTATCCCATCTCAGGCTATAATTTATTGTATTCTTCAGATCCTTTTCCTGATGGGGCCTTTAATGAAAGTGCCCTTCTTCTACGCACTGATATTCCGTACCATCAGCTATTTGTTCTTACTTCGCTGCATTACACAGCAGCCTGTATCCACTTGCATAGGTGGTATACACTCTGTTCTTTGTATCTCTCTCCTTCTCGGGCATTATCTATCCCAGATATTGCCTTTCTTGTTTCGTCATTACCGCCACCACTTCTGTTACTTGGCGATTTTAATGCCCATCATTTCCTCTGGGGGTGTCTCACTGTGATTCCCATGGCATTCAGTTAGAGGCTTTTCTTGCTAACTACCCCCTCCATGTTTTAAATACAGGTACTCACACCCATTTTGATCCTCGGACTCATACTCTCTCTGGCATCGATCTCTCAGTCTGCTCTTCCTCGCCGCATTAGACTTCACCTGGTCTGTTCTCCCGGATTTACATGACAGCGATCATTTCCCAATCATTCTTACTTCCCCTTCATATTCACCACCTCTTCATAACCCACGCTGGCAATTTGATCAGGCAAATTGGAACCTTTACTCACAACTAACTGTTTTTAGTGAGGTTCCTTCTTCGTCCTCCATTGATGAGCTTTTACACCTCTTCTCGTCCTCCGTTTTAACCGCAGCTTCTCATTCTATACCCCAAACTTCGGGCAGGCATTCTCAAAAATGCGTGCCTTGGTGGTCTCCTGCTTGTGCTCGTGCAGTACATTTGAAATGCGCTGCGTGGGGCAGGTACCAGTACAATAGAACCACGGAGAGACTTCTTGATTTTAAGCAGAAGCGTGCGATCGCTCGCCGTGTCATCCGTGACGTTAAACGCACTTTCTAGCAAGATTATGTCTCCACCATCACCTCTGCTTCCTCTATGAGTGCCGTCTGGAAAAAAGTATGAAAACTGAGCGGTAAATATTCTCCTGACCCGGCTCCTGTTCTGCGGGTTGCCAGTGTTGATATAGCAAACCCACTAGATGTTGCCAATGAAATTGGCAATCATTTGGTCCGTATTTCTCAGGGGCTCCATCTATGCCCCTCGTTTCTTTCCTCAAAGTCTGCCAGAGAGTTAGCACCCTTGGACTTTTCTTCTCTCAGAGAAGAACAGTATAATGTGCCTTTTACACTTCAGGAACTAGAGGCAACACTCTCAGCTTGCTGATCATCGGCAGCTGGGCCCGACGACATTCATATTCGTATGCTACAACATTTACATCAGTCAGCCCTTGCAGTCCTATTACGCCTTTTCAATCTTATTTCTTCACAAGGAGTTCTTCCACAGCTGTGGAAACCTGCCATTGTTCTCCCTTTCTGCAAACCGGGTACTACGGGACATGAAGCCTCCCACTATCGTTCCATTGCTCTTACCAGTGCAGTTTGCAAAGTGATGGAACGCCTGGTAAATAGACGATTAGTGTGGTATTTAGAGACACAAAACAGTCTCTCCACTCGTCAATATGGCTTTCGTAAGAACCGTTCTACCATAGACCCCTTACTACGCTTGGATATGTATGTTCGTAATGCCTTTGCAAATAACTACTCAGTTATTGCCATATTTTTTGACCTTGAGAAGGCATATGACACAACTTGGAGGTATAATATTTTGGCCCAAGCCCACTCCTTAGGCCTTCGAGGCAATCTACCATCCTTCCTTAAGAACTTTTTAACTAACAGACATTTCCGTGTTCGGGTTAATAATGTGCTCTCCCCGGACTTCATCCAAGCTGAAGGTGTCCCCCAGGGATGTGTTCTGAGCACAACACTTTTTCTCCTTGCTATAAATGATTTGGCCTCTAGTCTTCCATCCAATATTTGGTCATCACTCTATGTTGATGATTTTGCTATTACCTGTGCAGGCGCTGACTGTTACCTCATTACAGTTTCTCTCCAGCATGCGGTCAACCGTGTTTCCAATTGGGCCACCACACATGGGTTTAAATTTTCCAGTACCAAAACTCACCAAATTACTTTCACTAGATGCTCTGTCATCTCCGATCATCCTTTATACCTCTATGGCACCCGTATCCCTGAACGTGATACAGTCAGGTTTCTAGGCCTCCTCTTTGACCGTAGGTTATCCTGGAAACCTCACATTACCTCTTTGAAGACAACTTGTCACAGCCGGCTGAACCTTCTTAAAACCCTTGCTCATCTTTCATGGGGAGCTGATCGTCGAACTCTCCTTCGCCTACATTCCACCCTCATTTTATCGAAACTTGATTATGGTGACCAGATCTATTCAGCTGACTCTCCTGCTACTCTATCTAGCCTCAACCCTATTCATCACCAAGGATTACGTTTATGCCTTGGTGCTTTTCGCTCTTCCCCTGTTGAGAGCCTCTATGCAGAAGCGAACGTTCCATCCTTATCCGATCGCCGTGATGCCCATTGCCTTCGCTACTATGTACACTCTCATGATCTCCGCAATCCTTCCATTTATAGAATGGTCACTGATATTAGTAGACATTCTTTATTTGTTCGCCGCCCCTGTTTGCTCCGTCCCTTCTCTCTTTGCCTACATTCGCTCTTGTCTTCTCTTCAATTTCCACCTTTCTATGTTCATGTAGCATCTCACTTTTCCCTACCCCCCTGGGAAATTCCAGCTGTTCGAGTCTGTTCTTTCTCACTCCCTTGCTCGAAAGCCCAACGGTCTACGGTAGCTCCCACTCTCTTTTTCTTGACACTTCCACTCTCATTCTCATGCCATTGCAGTGTACACAGATGGCTCTAAGTCTTCTGACGGCATAGGATTCGCAGCAGTGTTTCCGGACAGCGTCATACGAGGGCATTTACTATCTTTGGCTAGTATCTTTACCGCTGAATTGTATGCCATTCTTGCAGCACTTATCCGTATTGCAGCTATGCCTGTGTCATCATTTGTGGTTGTCTCAGACTCCCTTAGTGCTTTACAAGCTATACAGAAATTTGATACACCTCACCCCTTAGTCCTCCGTATCCAACTTTGGCTAAGCCACATATCTACCAAGCATAAAGATATTGTTTTTTGTTGGGTCCCTGGTCAGGTTGACGTACAGGGCAATGAACAGGCAGACACTGCTGCGCGGTCAGCAGTACATGACCTACCAGTTTCATATAGAGGTGTTCCATTTATGGACTATTTTACTGCAATAGCTACCCACCTTCACACCCGTTGGCAACAACGTTGGTTTACTCTGCTCGGTAACAAACTTAATCTATTAAACCGAGTATAGGTTACTGGCCGTCTTCTTGTCACCAGTGTCGAGGTTGAGAGACTCTCCAGTCTTCGCATTGGCCATACTCGTCTTACTCATGGATATCTCATGGAGAGGCGCCCTGCTCCTCTCTGTGAGAATTGTCAGGTTCCATTATCGGTCAGCCACATTCTGTTAGACTACCCACTTTATCAACGAGCACGCAGAATTTACCTCCAACGTCGTCTTTGCTCCGCTGCTGTCTCTTTACCTTCCCTTCTCGCTGATGGACCCACCTTTCATCTGGACTCTCTCATTGACTTTTTGACAACAACTGACTTACTTCACAAACTCTGATGATACCTTCAGCCCTTTCTACCTCGATCTCTTGCTACCCTCTACCCTGCACTATCCCCTGCCCCGCTGTTTTCTGTAACATACTGATCGCCCCTCCCCCCTTCTGCCGCCCAATACCCTCGCTTCCTTTCCTACCCTGCAGCGCTGTATAGCTCTTGTGGCTTAGCGCTTCTTTTTTTATTATAATAATAATAATACGCTATGCTACATGCTTAATAATTTTTTACAAGCTTAACTAATTAGCCAATTAATATGGTAATGTATATATACATATTCCTTGTAACAGGGAGGGTCGAGCAGAGAGGCGGGCTCTCACACAACAAGTCGAACAACTCAAGATGGAACTCAACAGTTTGCAACACACTTACCAGGTACCGCATTACGTCTAGATTATAAGATTCAAATGTAGATCCGTGTCCATATAATAGTTGATGAAGTAAGGCGACTCACTCTCCGAACAGTAGTGACATGGGTAGACAGAGGCCAGGACACAGGCTGCGGTATTGTAATATTCGTCAGGAGGGAGGACAAGTGTCTCCTGAACGGGTTTAATCATATTGATGACTCGTTTAAGATTAACAGTTGGATGCAGTATATAGGCAACCACGACTTCAATATTTTTTTTTTGTTATTTAAAAAATATTTTTGAATCCAGTGAGAATTTTTATTCGATTCCCACAATTATCTCGACTTGTTGAGTGTTGAACCACAGCTCCTGGTCTTCTTCTCGAGGATGGTGGAGCTCAACATGAGTTATATTCTGTAACTCCATTTCACTGGAGCTCTTTTTCTAGTTCGAGTGAAAAGTAAAACAGAATATAACTCATGTTTAGCTCCACCATCACTCGAGAAGACCGGGAGCTGTGGTTCAACACCCAAGAAGTCGAGATGATTATGGAAATCAAATAAAAAATCTTAATGAGTTTAAAAATATTTTTTTAAATAGCAAAAAAAAAAATAATATTAAAGTCGTGGTTGTCTGTATATTGCATCTTATTGTTAATCTTAAACGAGTCATCAATATGACTAAGACCGTCCAGGAGACAACGTCTTGTTTTCAGTTAATAACCGTTGTTTCCAGTGTCTTCTGAAAAGGAATTTCTTAATACAGGGTGAGCCAAAAGTAGGCTTACAGTTGTTTCACTATTTGTTCACGTTTTCGCTTTAATTTATCCAAACCATAATTCCAAACCAGTATTCCAATACTAAAGCAGTATCGTAGGTGTGAAAATACCGAGCAGGTGCAGGAGGTAAGTGTATACCTACTAAGTGAAAGCATACTTTTGGCCCACTCTGTATATAAGTTAATAACTCTAGAACAAATCATCTTCATTTGTTACTTTTGTGTCATAATGTAGTTTTTGTCACTGCATTTTACTCTCATTTTTTTAATCCACAGCATGACGTGTTGGCCTACTCCATATAAAATCATTCTTGATAATGTCAATAAAAACTAACTTACAGGATATTATATAAAAAGAACTTATACAGCCCTCACTTATTTTTAATCAATAATATAGTTCATGACCAAAAAACAACGTAATAAGCATCCACTTCCCACTGAAGGTGACTAAGGAGTGTAAGTTTGGGTTGGGAGCCGAGGCAGACATGGGCGTCGTGCAGGATAAGTTGGGTACCAGTCTTGAGCTGCGCTGGACGGGCAAGGTGGCCAGCCAGATGACTCGCCATGATAACACCATGTCACAGCTCCAGGTAACATTCCCGAGTATTATACGTATGTAACTATATTAGCTCTGTATGAATATGTAGTATGTCTTAGCTACTGTAATTAGTGATATTGTCTCAATAAAAATTTCTTGTGCCGTAAATGCATGTACCTGGAGAAGGTTTGGGGAGTTGACGCCCCCGCGGCTCGGTCTGAGACCAGGCCTCGTGGTGGATCAGGGTCTGATCATCCAGGCTGTTATTACTGGTCGCACGCAAACTGACGTACGAACCACAGCCCGGCTTGTCAGGTACTGACTGTAGGTGCCTGGCCAGTGCCTTCTTGAAGACAATTATTGTAGTTTTTTTATGTGATGCAGCATTGAGATAATTGTATGTCCAGCAAACTTAATTCTTATATTCCCAAATTTTGCAAAGAAAAGTTCATCGTTTTGTGTATGTAAGGGACAGGTAAAGTATGTATCAATTACAGGCAGATATTACTGGAAGAAGAAAAGAGGTGCAAGCACTGCAGAAGGAAGAAGCAGCTCTGGCCGCACACATCCTGGCACTGCGTCAGGAGAAGGAGCACTTACTGTATCACCTCTCACATACACCGACACAACCTACACCCACAGTATGTAGACTTTTGCCTTGTTTTACTTAAAACTGAAGATTTTCTACGCATGTCTGGCAAGAGTATACATACACACAAACATATATGTTTCGGTTCATGCATTTACTAATTTTTTTCATAAATTGATTTTTAGGTACATCAAAAGAAAGGTGTAAGCAAGTCGACAGGAAGGCCAAAAGTGATAGGCTCCCCCGAGGAGCTACAGCAGCTGAGAATGACCGTCACGAGGCAAGACAACACCATCGCAGCTCTCAGGTGACTGTCTTTTATTTTGAATTAACCAATGCATTGTTTATAATATACCTTACATGAGAAATAAAAAAAATAATGGAATTAGAGATTTTTTATATTAGGACAGTGTATTTTTTTTTTTTTTTTTTTTGCTCTTAATCTCAAAAGTTATGGAAAACTGGAGGAGATAATAACTAGAACAGAGTATACTACTGACTCCGGCCATACAATAGAGCGGAAAAATAATGTAAGGGACCTGGGAGTAGTAATGTCTGAGGATCTCACTTTCAAGGATCACAACAGTGCCACGATCGCACGTGCAAAGAAAATGATAGGATGGATAATGAGAACTTTCAAAACGAGAGATGCCAAGCCCATGATGATCCTTTTCAAATCACTTGTTCTCTCTAGGCTGGAATACTGCTGTACATTAACATCTCCATACAAAGCAGGTGAAATCGCAGATCTAGAGAGTGTACAGAGATCCTTTACTGCACGTATAAGTTCTGTCAAGCACCTTAACTACTGGGAACGCTTGGAAGCACTTGACTTGTACTCGTTGGAACGCAGGAGGGAGAGATATATCATAATCTACACTTGGAAAATCTTGGAAGGAATGGTCCCAAATCTGCACACAGAAATCACTCCCTACGAAAGTAAAAGACTGGGCAGGGGATGCAAAATGCCGCCAATAAAAAGTAGGGGCGCCATTGTACACTAAGAGAAAACACCATAAGTGTCCGGGGCCCAAAACTGTTCAACAGCCTCCCATCAAGCATTAGGGGAATTGCCAATAAACCCCTGGCTGCCTTCAAGAGAGAGCTGGACAGATACCTAAAGTTAGTGCCGGATCAGCCGGGCTGTGGCTCGTACGTCGGACTGCGTGCGGCCAGCAGTAACAGCCTAGTTGATCAGGCCCTGATCCATCGGGAGGCCTGGTCATGGACCGGGCCGCGGGGGCGTTGATCCCCGGAATAACCTCCAGGTAACCTCCAGGTAACCCTAGCCTGGGCCTCCTAACAGGTTAAAAAAAAAAATCTTGAAATTTAGAGTACTGCGCTGATCTGGACTAACAAAATTATAAAATCATGATCGAACTATATTAAGTAAAAGTATAATTTTTATCCACAAACTCTTTAACAGGCAGTGTTATGATATTTTTATCCAACAAGTTAAGGAAGATTCACAGTCCGGTGTCACGTATTAGGAGTGGAAGTATAAAAATATGATAGGTCGGTTGGTTAATGGGGCTTCAAGTCAATCAACTACATGAAGGTCATTAAGACTTCGTATTACCAATTCGCCACCTGTCAATAATGCTTTAATCCCTAAATCACGGATCATGTATAGACTGAGCATGTACAGACTGACAGACATACACCGTTCTCACTGTGTATATAACCTGTGTCAAGAATGATGTTTTCTCTTTCAGGCAGGAAATAAATGCCCTTCGCAGCAAGACGGGTTGTGTGATCCTTCCAGGACAGCAGCCTCAGCTTCCAGCCCAGCTGTGCACGTCCAGCCCTCCAACCACACAGCGACCTTGGTCACAAGACTCTCACTCACACAGAGACCTCGACTCAACTGAAACAAAGCTATCAGACAAAACATCTCATCCTCTGCCTGAGCCAGAGTTTACTGAGGCTACAGATGATGAACATGGGGTTACGGAGGGTGGTGTTGACGTTGAGAGTATCGTAGAGATATGTGATGAGGACAGTGATACCAGTATGTTATCAGATGTATCTGATACTTAAAGGTGTTCAAGTTTTGTAAGACATCGTCAAATTCAAAAGTTTAATTTATAGTACAGTTTCCCTACCTTTTGTATATTTACCAGTATATATAAATCATCCGGCTATAACGATCTACCGATTAACCGAGGAAAAATTAAATGCCAGTTATGATGCTAGAGGGAGAGAGGTTCGTTTAATGATTTGCAAGGACGATTATTGCAACATTCTTTTCACTGACTTTGAACGTTAAGCTGCGCTAAGTTGGGGCAAATTCACTTTTCCTAGTGAGGAAGATATTATGAAATACATAAGTTGCTCTGCCAACTATCAGGACATCCTATACATGACACAGACTACATGAGCGATGCAACTGAAGAGCTCCCTAATTCCTTCTCATTCCTATAGTCAGTCAACAAAATGCAGTTTGCCTAATATCTCTATCTTTCTGCTTGTGTAAAATATTTGAGAGGATGGTACTGAATAATAATGACATATAGATGACTCGTGTACAGACCACAGTACAGGTGGAATTTAAACCCATGGTGAGTCGTAAACCTCAGGGCAGGATGCATTGACCTGTAGTTTTACGATTCCTTCGCTGTGGGATTCTAACCCCACCCGTAGTACCGTGGTTCGTTTGCAATCGTGTTATTACGATTTCGTGAGTCCTATACAGAGATTGAAGCACACATCAACAACTGACCTTCCACCCATCAAGCTGAAATGTTTGATATATTCCTTGCACTCAAGTGGGTTCATGTATTTAAAACTGACACGTTCATTGCAATTGATTCTTTATCGTCTGTAAATATTCCTAACTCAGTGAGTGTCAGTTTTAACATGGTCGCGTCAGAAGCCAGACAGGTATTGTAAAATTGTAGACAGAGAAAACAAGGTACACCTTTTTGTGAATTCCCCTCACATACTGACCTATAAGTACATGGTAGTTTGAGAATAATACAAAAAAAACTTTGCCTGAATTTCATTAACCTGAGACAAGGTACATGTATTATCATACACATCACAGCCATGGAGGTTCATAAACTCAAGTCGTCATAAACCAAAGTTAGTGTCAGTAAATAAACAGAAGGATGAGTGGGGGGGAGAGACTAGGGCCACAGCTGACCCTGAGGGGGAGAGAGTAGGGCCACAGCTGACCCTGAGGGGGAGAGACTAGGGCCACAGCTGACCCTGAGGGGGAGAGACTAGGGCCACAGCTGACCCTGAGGGGAGAGAGTAGGGTCACAGCTGACCTGAGGGGAGAGACTAGGGCCACAGCTGACCCTGGGAGGGGAGAGAGTAGTAGGGTCACAGCTGACCCTGAGGGGGAGAGATAGGGCCACAGCTGACCCTGAGGGGGAGAGAGTAGGGTCACAGCTGACCCTGAGGGGGGGGGTAGAGACTAGGGCCACAGCTGACCCTGAGGGGGAGAGAGTAGGGTCACAGCTGACCCTGAGGGGGAGAGACTAGGGCCACAGCTGACCCTGAGGGGGAGAGAGTAGGGTCACAGCTGACCCTGAGGGGGAGAGACTAGGGCCACAGCTGACCCTGAGGGGGAGAGAGTAGGGTCACAGCTGACCCTGAGGGGGAGAGACTAGGGCCACAGCTGACCCTGAGGGGGAGAGAGTAGGGTCACAGCTGACCCTGAGGGGGAGAGACTAGGGCCACAGCTGACCCTGAGGGGGAGAGAGTAGGGTCACAGCTGACCCTGATGGGGAGAGAGTAGGGTCACAGCTGACCCTGAGGGGGAGAGACTAGGGCCACAGCTGACCCTGAGGGGGAGAGAGTAGGGTCACAGCTGACCCTGAGGGGGAGAGAGTAGGGTCACAGCTGACCCTGAGGGGGAGAGACTAGGGCCACAGCTGACCCTGAGGGGTAGAGACTAGGGCCACAGTTGACCCTGAGGGGGAGAGAGTAGGGTCACAGCTGACCCTGAGGGGGAGAGAGTAGGGTCACAGCTGACCCTGAGGGGGAGAGAGTAGGGTCACAGCTGACCCTGAGGGGAAGAGACTAGGGCCACAGCTGACCCTGAGGGGTAGAGACTAGGGCCACAGTTGACCCTGAGGGGGAGAGAGTAGGGTCACAGCTGATGCTGAGGATGACAGGGTCACAGCTAACGCTGAGGGAGAGACAGTAGGGTCACAGCTGATGCTGAGGGAGAGACAGGGTCACAGCTGATGCTGAGGGAGAGAGAGGGTCACAGCTAACGCTGAGGGAGAGAGAGGGTCACAGATGACTCGGAGAGACAGGGTCACAGCTGACGCTGAGGGAGACAGTAGGGTCACAGCTGACGCTGAGGGAGAGACAGTAAGGTCGCAGCTGACGCTGAGGGAGACACAGTAGGGTCACAGCTGACGCTGAGGGACAGTAGGGTCACAGCTGATGCTGAGGGACACAGGGTCACAGCTGATGCTGAGGGACACGGGGTCACAGCTGATGCTGAGGGAGACAGGGTCACAGCTGAAGGAGAGATAGGGTCACAGCTAACGCTGAGGGAGAGACAGGGCCACAGCTGATGCTGAGAGAGAGTAGGGTCACAACTGACGCTGAGGAACAGTAGGGTCACAGCTGACGCTGAGGGAGAGACAGTAGTATCACAGCTGACGCTGAGGGACAGTAGGGTCACAGCTGACGCTGAAAGAGACAGTAGGGTCACAGCTGACGCTGAGGGAGAGACAGGGTCACAGCTGATGCTGAGGGAGAGAGGGTCACGGATGATGCTGAGGGAGACAGGGTCACAGCTAACGCTGAGGGAGAGACAGTAGGGTCACAGCTGGCGCCGAGGGAGAGACAGTAATGTCACAGCTGACGCTGAGGGAGACAGTAGGGTCACAGCTGACGCTGAGGGAGAGATAGGGTCACAGCTGACGCTGAGGGAGACAGTAGGGTCACAGCTGACGCTGAGGGACAGTAGGGTCACAGCTGATGCTGAGGGACGCAGGATCACAGCTGATGCTGAGGGACACAGGGTCACAGCTGATGCTGAGGGACACAGGGTCACAGCTGATGCTGAGGGAGACAGGGTCACAGCTGAAGGAGAGATAGGGTCACAGCTGACGCTGAGGGAGAGACAGTGCCACAGCTGATGCTGAAAGAGAGACAGTAGGGTCACAGCTGACGCTGAGGGACAGTAGGGTCACAGCTGACGCTAAGGGAGAGACAGGGCCACAGCTGACGCTGAGACAGTAGGGTCAAAGCTGACGCTGAAAGAGACAGTATGGTCACAGCTGACGCTGAGACAGGGTCACAGCTGACGCTTAGTAGGGTCGCAGCTGACGCTGAGGGAGAGACAGTAGGGTCACAGCTGACGCTGAGGAAGAGACAGGGCCACAGCTGACGCTGAAAGACAGTAGGGTCACAGCTGACGCTGAAAGACACAGTAGGGTCACAGCTGACGCTGAGGGAGAGACAGGGTCACAGCTGACGCTGAGGGAGAGACAGTAGAGTCACAGCTGACGCTGAGGGTGAGACAGTTGGGTCACAGCTGACGATGAGGGACAGTAGGGTCACAGCTGATGCTGAGGGAGACAGGGTCACAGCTGAAGGAGAGATAGGGTCACAGCTGACGCTGAGGGATAGACAGGGCCACAGCTGATGCTGAAAGAGAGACAGTAGGGTCACAGCTGACGCTGAAAGAGACAGTAGGGTCACAGCTGACGCTGAGGGAGAGACAGTAGGGTCACAGCTGACGCTGAGGGAGAGACAGTAGGGTCACAGCTGACGCTGAGGGACAGTAGGGTCACAGCTGACGCTGAGGGAGAGACAGTAGGGTCACAGCTGACGCTGAGGGAGAGACAGTAGGGTCACAGCTGACGCTGAAGGAGAGACAGGGCCACAGCTGACGCTGAGAGACAGTAGGGTCACAGCTGACGCTGAAAGAGACAGTAGGGTCACAGCTGACGCTGAGGGAGAGACAGGGTCACAGCTGACGCTGAGAGAGAGACAGTAGAGTCACAGCTGACGCTTAGGGCGAGACAGTTGGGTCACAGCTGACGCTGAGGGACAGTAGGGTCACAGCTGACGCTGAGGGAGAGACAGGGCCACAGCTGACGCCGAAAGAGAGACAGTAGGGTCACAGCTGACGCTGAGGGAGAGACAGTAGGGTCACAGCCGACGTTGAGGGAGAGACAGTAGGGTCACAGCTGACGCTGAGGGACAGTAGGGTCACAGCTGACGCTGAGGGAGAGACGGCCACAGCTGACGCTGAAAGAGAGACAGTAGGGTCACAGGTGACGCTGAAAGAGACTTTAGGGTCACAGCTGACGCTGAAAGAGACAGTAGGGTCACAGCTGACGCTGAGGGAGAGACAGGGTCACAGCTGACGCTGAGGGAGAGACAGTAGGGTCACAGCTGACGCTGAGGGAGAGACAGTAGGGTCACAGCTGACGCTGAGGGAGAGACAGTAGGGTCACAGCTGACGCTGAGGGACAGTAGGGTCACAGCTGACGCTGAGGGAGAGACAGGGCCACAGCTGACGCCGAAAGAGAGACAGTAGGGTCACAGCTGACGCTGAGGGAGAGACAGTAGGGTCACAGCCGACGTTGAGGGAGAGACAGTAGGGTCACAGCTGACGCTGAGGGACAGTAGGGTCACAGCTGACGCTGAGGGAGAGACGGCCACAGCTGACGCTGAAAGAGAGACAGTAGGGTCACAGGTGACGCTGAAAGAGACTTTAGGGTCACAGCTGACGCTGAAAGAGACAGTAGGGTCACAGCTGACGCTGAGGGAGAGACAGGGTCACAGCTGACGCTGAGGGAGAGACAGTAGGGTCACAGCTGACGCTGAGGGAGAGACAGTAGGGTCACAGCTGACGCTGAGGGAGAGACAGTAGGGTCACAGCTGACGCTGAGGGAGAGACAGTAGGGTCACAGCTGACGCAGAATATCATATGTACTGTCTGTGAAATCTTTCTATTATATGTCTCTTACGTTTCTTTTTTATATTCCTATACATACATAATGCTATGCATATAAGTGGCTTTGGCATGCTGCTCTTACCTGTATTTTTTGTACCTCTGTTTGTATGCTAAATTTCTAAATAAATAAATAAATAAATAAATAAATATAAATAAGAATGAACGGGGGTTAGAACCCTGGTGGTGTTATGCAGCAGGTACAACACTACCACTGCCTAGTAACTTGCCAGGTAGCGTTTACCTGGAGTTTACCTGGAGAGAGTTCCGGGGGTCAACGCCCCCGCGGCCCGGTCTGAGACCAGGCCTCCTGGTGGATCAGAGCCTGATCAACTAGGCTGTTGCTGCTGGCTGCACGCAAACCAACATACGAGCCACAGCCCGGCTGATCCGGAACTGACTTTAGGTGCTTGTCCAGTGCCAGCTTGAAGACTGCCAGGGGTCTGTTGGTAATCCCCCTTATGTGTGCTGGGAGGCAGTTGAACAGTCTCGGGCCCCTGACACTTATTGTATGGTCTCTTAACGTGCTAGTGACACCCCTGCTTTTCATTGGGGGGATGGTGCATCGTCTGCCAAGTCTTTTGCTTTCGTAGTGGGTGATTTTCGTGTGCAAGTTCGGTACTAGTCCCTCTAGGATTTTCCAGGTGTATATAATCATGTATCTCTCCCTCCTGCGTTCCAGGGAATACAGGTTTAGGAACCTCAAGCGCTCCCAATAATTGAGGTGTTTTATCTCCGTTATGCGCGCCGTGAAAGTTCTCTGTACATTTTCTAGGTCGGCAATTTCACCTGCCTTGAAAGGTGCTGTTAGTGTGCAGCAATATTCCAGCCTAGATAGAACAAGTGACCTGAAGAGTGTCATCATGGGCTTGGCCTCCCTAGTTTTGAAGGTTCTCATTATCCATCCTGTCATTTTTCTAGCAGATGCGATTGATACAATGTTATGGTCCTTGAAGGTGAGATCCTCCGACATGATCACTCCCAGGTCTTTGACGTTGGTGTTTCGCTCTATTTTGTGGCCAGAATCTGTTTTGTA